TGTTGGAATTGATATTGATGATCTGAAGATGCTTGTCGAGTCTAACCCAAGGCGACACACTGATGAAATGACCCTGAAATTGCATGTCTCTCATGAAACAATAGGTAAATATCTAAAGAATATGGGAAAACTTCATAAAGAAGGTGTTTGGGTGCCTCACGAACTCTCCGACAGTTACTTCAGTTGTTATCTGTTAGTATATATATTTTATTACAATATTTGATATACACCACGTACAAAGTATGCTACAAAGCATCCTATATTCAGTTGGAGTCTGATTGTCACAACATATCAACATTAGCATAATATTTCCTCTTTCATTTTGGTTATCCACAAGAGAGCTGTCAAGACCAAGGAACTATCTTTGAAGAAGGCTAAAACATTACTGTGTAACCCATATTCAAAAAAATGTTTGTATATAGAACCATACAAATCATATAAAGTGTGCTAGCCAAGTTCTTCTATCTATAGAGAACTAATTTGGATAATTATCTAATAGATATTAAATATTCCATTGGCTACAACTCTGACCTTGTGGATTGAGCAATAAATTAATTTCCTGGTTGATGTGATGTATAGCTGCTTCATGTACAACTTAAGAGTATGTGTAGGTGTTTCACCAAGTACAGTGGGCATGCACATCGGGAGATGACAAAGGATATGAAAGAGTGATGGGAAAAAGGTAAATTTCCCTGAGGGCAGATATTAAATAATCTGTATTCATGAGTGAAGGCCTAAGTTCATGTTGGATGAACCTTGACTTGGGTTTTTGACACGTCAACTCATTGAATTGTTAGTTTTGTTACTCATACTGGTCAAAGAACCCAATTATTCATGTAAATTATACTACACTAAAGAACCCTTTAAGCAATGGCTGGATAGAAGGCTACCATATAAAGAAGTAGATGAAGAAAATGAAGTCAAAATCTTATGAAACATACTATATGGCAGGAGTACAGTTACCATTAACCATAACAGTAAAATTACAGCTAGAAAGGCATTAACATTAGAAGTTGAAAGGGAGTCGTGACTGTTTGATTCCAATATAGAAAATGATTTTAAATAATTTTTTATTGTGATTTCACACACATGTAGGGAATTGGTTATTGACATGATGCATAGTTTAACTTATTCTTTGTATTTTGACAAAGAGTGATATTTCTTGACACAGAGTTTAGCTTACTTTGTTTTTTGTTTATTTTAATTTTATGGTGTTTTCTGTTTGGTTATTGTGTTATCAATGTACTTTGCAATGTAATTTATGTTTCATTTTCTTTTTAGATTGGTAACTTACTGTGTGATGAATTCTGTTCCTTACATTGTATGGTTTTATAATGTGTTTCTTATTACAGTTTAACATTGTGCTGTGTTTACTTTCTCTGTGACTTGGCTGCTTCCATTGTGCACCGATTTACTTTAGAGTGATTGGGTAAGTTTCACAGAAAAACAAGATGTCCTCCATAAAGTCTATTACGAGCAAATCTTAATTCTTCAACATCGACTGAGTTCCAATAAAAGAAGGAGACACGATGTAGAACAGAGTGAAACTATCTTAAATAATACTTAACGTTTAAGCAAGTGCATTTTTGATCACTTTTACTGAAAAGTGTGGTAAATCTGTTGAATCTGAAATATCTATCTGTTACAGGCTGATAAAACATATGCAGTATTGGTTCAAGTTCGCCTTTTTGTGGTCGGTATTCAGTTGTGTTATGTATGACCTGAGAGGGTCAGGTGCTATTTGGACCTCGTCCTCCCTTCTTAACGGTTTTGGATGTTTAATGTCAGATGCTATATTAATATTAAGAGATTAGATCATATATATGTACACTAGTGCTAAATTATCTATTCTCTTCATTTGGTCGTTATACTCTCTAAAACAATTCCATTGACAAATCGTCACTTTTTTTTCGCCTGATCACATTATTGAACGCGCATTTGACGTAAAATAGCCTTTTTAAAAACAGTTGATAAAAACAATCTAAGCGATATTTTCGTATAGTACATGTTGATCGATGAGAGATACTTAGGACTATCAACATCATGTATGATATAACGATTCATGAAGGTTAATAGATTACTCTTGTATTGATTTTATCAAAATACTTGAACGAGCAATCTATGAGTCTGTTGTGGATTGGTTGGGTATTTGCATATTTATTGACTATTTTGATATAGTATACTCTACAGGAATCTTTTAGCTAAAATCCTATATTAAGACTACATACTCATGCTGCCCATAACTTTATAATTTAAAAAGCGATTAAAACATCTCGCTTAATACAAAGAACTCTGTGTCACTTACTCTTGCACATTAAAGCAAAACGGGTAACATAAATTTGTACGAAACAGGTGGTTACAAGTCAAAAGTATTAAAAGTGCAGGCACAGAATGTTTAAAAAATTGCACAAAAATGTCGTATAAAACAAATTAATTATAAAATGTACAAGATAAAGAAACTCTTCAAAAAACAAATTATGTTAAAATAATCACACAAAATGAAGCTCTTTTGATATTTAAGATAAAAGAACAAAACTCCACAATGGCTGAGTAATAAATCTGCAGATTTATGTTGCTAAAAACCGAGTTTTGATATCCATGGTGGGCACAGAACAGCAGGCCTATTGTGTAGCTTTGTACTTAACTACAAACAAAAGAATACAAAGAAGTAAAATATACTGAAATTGAAATATATCAAATAAAGTTTAAAACACAAACATTTATACATAACGCCCCGGCATGGCCAGGTGGTTAGGGCGCTCGACTTCTAATCTGCGGGTTCGAATCCCTGCTACACCAAACATGCTCGCCCTTTCAGCCGTGGGGGCGTTATAATGTGACGGTCAATCCCACTATTCGTTGGTAAAAGAGTAGCCCAAGAGTTGGTGGTGAGTGGTGATGACTAGCTGCCTTCCCTCTAGTCTTACACTGCTAAATTAGGGACGGCTAGCGCAGATAGCCCTCGAGTAGCTTTGCGCGAAATTCAAAACAAAACAAAAACAGTTTATACATAAGAGTGTTACAACACTTACAATAATAAAAACGAATACACAAAGAATGGCTGATTTATACAGTGTAATTACAATTAAAATTATTTGTTAAAATTACAAAGAAAAGATAAATGTAAATTCGTATACTATACAGGTATTCAAAGGAATATATATTAGGTCGTCAAGAAATTAATGTCGCTTTTTTTTTTAAATGAAAAACCCCGAGCAACTTGTATATCAAACCATTTATTAAATGAAATAGTCTCCATTCTTATTGATGATGCTTTTCTATCTTACAATCAGGTTGTTAATGCC